CTATACTGTAAGCCTAGAATGACATTAGGTCTCATAACTACATGCTTTAAATGTTGATCATGCTATGTTTGAACCTTATTAGGACATTCTCAACCTTGAGAGAGCTCATTTACACCATATTCTCGAATTAACTCAATCGAGCCTTGATCAAAGAATGTTTGAATATTGATTAAATCTTATTCAAACATTATTCAAACTTGAGGTGTATGATATTTATTTTTTTAATTAGAATCAAACAATGTTTAATTGTTGTTTAATCAGAGTTTTCCTATGGTCAAAACTCCATTCGAACAAAATTAGAGCATGGTATGATCAACGTTTGAATAATATTTGATGAAGGCTCGATTTAGGTTTAAGTAACGTTTGAACCAAGTATTTTAGTTGCATCGTATATGCAAATGTCTACTATGATCTTACATGCAAATAAGTATTATATACTCGAGTATATGTATATAGATCTAGAGTGTAAAATAGATATACAATATGAGGCAAATGACCTCATTGTGTTTGATATTATAGGGAATGAAATGATATATTTGACAAATGTGTAGCTAAATATTAACATTTTTGTGTCATGGAATATTTGCGATAGTAGAGAGAGATAAAGTTTAGCGTCTTAGCTTTATACGAAGATCCAACACACAAATAGGTAAAAGATGAGAGTGTAGTATTCATAAGAGACACCAAAAATTTTTATGTGGAAATCCCAAAAAGGTAAAAAAACCACAGGCCTGGCCTAGGTTGAATGAATCCACTAATATTTGTAATTGATTGCAAATGATATCATTTCTCTGAGGAAGGTGTCGGCTCAATGTAACAAATATACATCATATAGAACATTTTACATGGCTGAAAGAATCCAATGTCATGAGGGCTATCCTCAAAGTGTTGGTCTATTCATTGAATTAGTAGGATTGTATTTGGGCAACAGATGTTAGAAGGATTGTAGTTGGCAAGTGATAGAGGTCGGAAGAATCGTAGTACAACAACGGTGGTTGGAGGGACTGTAGTCGATGGGCGACGATGATTGGAAGAATCTTAATCAGACGACGGTGGTCAAAAGGATCGTAATCGACAGACGATAGTGATCGAATGGATTGTAATCGGGCGATGATGGTCAGAAAAACCATAATTCATGTTCGATAGTGGTCATAGTGAGGCTCGTTAGTGGCTTCCATATGGAGGTCCAACAATGATGGTCAGCTAAAGGTTCAATAACGGCATCTTAGTGGTGTGAATTGTTGGCGGTGGTGCCAGGTGGAGTTCCAGGAATCTTTAGGCCTCAGAGCTTTTCTCTTCCTCCTCCTCGTTCCCTCCTTTCATGTAAAGAAATGGGTCTATTTATAGATTTTTGAGAGTGACATGCTAAATAAATAGGGATAAAATTAAGTATAAGTTTGGAGTGTTCTATCGAAAGGCCCATATTAATTCCCTAGATAAGGGAGTGTTTGTCAAGCATTTAAATGCCTTAATGATCTCAGAATTGAGTGATCTTAGGCTTGTTGGATTTGTTTGTTTGACTCGCTCGATTCAACTATAAAAATATCATATTTTAATATCATTTAATCATCCAATTAATGCTTTAAAGTTTTTAAATAGGCTTTAGTCCTTTTATTTGGGCCCATTTTGGGCTCGGATTTGATAGAATTTGGTGTCGTTGAGTTCGTCTCCATGTTATGTTTAATTTGATTATAAACTTGTAGAAATCAGAGTTTGGGCAATCTTGAATTTTAATTTATAAGTTTTCAATATATATTTGCATCAAGACTCGTGCCCAATCAAAGTGTTTTTTTATGATGTATCAAACATAAAGGCCATCCTTTTAGTAAAAGGTTTGTCATCTCAAGTTGAAAAACCCACTATCATATCATACTTGCTAAGAATTATTTGAATCCCAAAAATCTTCAAGTGTTGGTGCATTCCCTTTTCTCATATATAAGAGGTGATATTTTATAACAAG